GGGACAGCTTAAGATAGCAGATTTCGGCCTGGCCCGGGTCTTTTCCCCAGATGGCAACCGCCTCTATACCCACCACGTGGCTACCAGGTAGGAAGGGCCGATCTCCGGGGCAGACCTGGCAGCCCTCTCCCCCAGGGAAAAGATGCTAAATGAACTTTCTGCCAGACATTGCTTGTAGAGTTGCTGTGGGGGCCCCAGGTGATCTTTCAGGACAGCCTCCTGCCAGACCAGTGACCTGGCAGTAACCACCATTTTCTCCCTTACAGATGGTACCGGGCCCCCGAGCTCCTGTATGGTGCCCGTCAGTATGACCAGGGTGTTGACCTGTGGTGAGACTCCTGTGGGGTGGGCAGGGGTAATGTGGACCGTGGAATCGTGTTTTGTCTCCTAGGCTTTGTGGTCTCTAAGCTGTGGGGTGGCCTTTTCCCTGTGTGAACTCTAGGTTGTCTTGGGGCTGTCTTCCGTGGTTGAGGTATCTGAGCAACTTGGGGTCAGTGTTCTGTTTTTGAGCTGTGTGGAGGTTCAGAGGTGGGATCTGGAGTGGTTGGCCCAAATGAGAAGCTTCTTAGTTGGGATGGGGAGGTGGTCTGAGACTCAAGAAGGTGTGGAGTGTCTCAGCTGATAAGTAGGGGTGTGGGGTGGCAGGAGGTTGTAATATCCCAGGATGTGACGTCTCTAAGTTAATCCGGCCTGTGTCTCTGGGTATGAAGTCTCTGAGCCTTTTGGGGGGGATAGTTTGTACTCAGGTGTGTGAGATGTTTGAGCTGTTGTGTAGGTCTGCCCCAGAAAGTGAGGGGGTATCTGTGTGTCCCAGAGTGCGAGGCTCTGAAAATTCTTAGAACTGTTAGGGGAGTTGCTGTGTGTTTTAGAGTTGTGGTCTCAGAACTGTTTGGGGGAGGGGGAGTTGGTCTGTGTTCTAGGGTTGAGGTTTTTGACCTGTTCTGGGGCCTGTATCCTTGGAGATGAAGCCTCTGGGCTGGTTTGTGGGGGTCTCAACCCAGGGTGTGAAGTGTTTGAGCTGGTATGGGAGTCATTCTGTGTTCTGTGGTATAAGATCTGTGAGCTCTTTGGGATTTTGTGTCCACAGGGCCGTGGGCTGCATCATGGGAGAACTACTGAATGGGTCCCCCCTTTTCCCTGGGGAGAACGACATCGAGCAGCTTTGTTGTGTGCTTCGCATTTTGGGCACCCCCAGTCCTCAAGTCTGGCCGGTTTGAAGGGGCCCATGTGGGGAGGCATGGGGCA